TGATGAAATCTTTGGCATCTTGGGAAATGGCATCAAAAGCTTCGTCATCAAAGTCATAGTCTGCTCTGGTAATGTTGGCAAACGTTTCAGCATCAGTGTCTCCCATGAAAGGAGATAACCCAGATAACCTAAGATACAAACAGTTCATTATAAATCCAGAAAACATGGATTTTACAATATTTCTGTGAAAAAATATACGTGGGACACTTACAGAGTTAAAAATACACTAAAATTACTTGAAATGTAAGAAGAGGTATCATAGAGATAAATACAAGCAATACAGTAATGATGCTGAGTATTAGAAAAGGGAAGAATAAATGTAAATATGAACAATAATGAAACTAGGACAAATTTGGCTAAATGTATAAAAGGAAATAATAATATAATGGTTAGGAAAAATGGTTAAGAGAAAAAAAATGTAACAGACAGTAAGAATATAAAATAACAAAGAGATGTGAAAATTTCTGTGATAATTATGTTTTCTTGGTCATCATATTGAATATCCAGCTAATTCAATATGGGAATAAGTTGTTCAGATTCCTCAAGACACACAATTGGATTGAAATTTCTTTCCAAAGCGAGTTGTGGATAATGGTCCATGAAGCAATATAAATGTCATAAAACTGAGCATAGGGAAATTTGTACTGACAATTTCACTGTGAACATTACTTTGATTTACCCTATAAAGAGATTTTCAAGTTATAAAAATTAAATTATTTCAGAGATTAATCAATTTCATTTTCAGTTCCCATCTCAAATGATTATATGCTTAAATCTTGCAAGCCCAGTAACATACAGTACTGGGCAAGATAATGTGTTACATAGAGAAAACAGCTGGGTTGAATAGATAATAATAATAATAATAATAATAATAATAATCATCATCATCATCATTGGCTTCATTTTCTTAAAAATCACAAAATCAGGGTTTTGCTAATACTTACAAAACGTAGCATATCACGCCCACAGACCACATGTCAGATTCCACCCCAATTGGCTCATAGTTGATAATTTCTGGAGGGATGAACTCTGGGGTGCCAAATAAAACTCTTACCGGAGTGTCTGGACTGATTTTCTGGGCCAGTCCAAAGTCAATGAGCTTGATTTGGTGTGATGTCCGTGTGTGACACATTATATTTTCTGGCTGAAATAAAGATAAATGTTTTATGACAATGAATAAGTGGCATAAGCATTCCTTTCTATATTTTGTGCAGCCACAGCCAGTTGTGGAAAGAATTGTCAAGAGTCTCTGTTGAGCAGTTGATATTTACTTAGCTGGTGAAGAAATTCCATGAAATTCAAGTAATCTTCAGGGTTTAAGATGGAGGCAATGTGTTCTTGTCAAGTGTTGGTACCAACCTACCTACCTACCTATCTTTGCAAAAATAGAGATCTGCCCCTCTGATAATATTGGTAACACCTACAAGACTACATGGTGTCAGCAGACGATAATTGTCAAGGACAGAAACCCAACATTAAGTCACGACACGTTCATTGCATGTGGAAGATTTCATAAGAAAATTGTTGTCCATTACCTTCAGATCCAAATGAACAATATAATTCTTGTGCATGTAGTCTACACCTTCACAGATCTGACGCATGAACAAGATGCAGTCTCGCTCTGTGAGGGTGAAATCATCTGCCACGACCCGTTCAAATAACTCCCCACCAGAGATGCTGAAAAAAGACATGTCTCATGTAATTAGGGAAAGTATCTGATTTCATTTTTTTTGTAATAGTTTAAAAAATTAAAACAATTGGGCACATCTACAATAATATATGAGGACAATCACATTTATTAGCCGCGTTTTCCCAATATATCCAGTGTAAATACAAACAACCAAAACTTTGAATATACTTAGCAGTGCTTACAAACGATATGCTAAGTTTAATATTTTCTGCTTTAATAAAGGAAGTGTAAATCAAAATTGGACTACTATGCAGATAGAGAAGTGGATTTTTTTTTCTTGTTTAAAAATGCCTAATATTAATAACTTATTACAGCCATTGTATTTTTATTTTTGTGTAAAGTGTCAACTCACTATTCCAACACCATAACAACTTCTCTAGGGCTCTCAAAAGCTGCTGCCAACTGCAGAAGTTTTGGATGCCGCAAGACATTCATCACGTCAATCTCCTCCTGAACCTTTTCCCGGTCTTTGGCTTTTATGCAGCGGATAAATTTTGCTGCATACTTCTGTCCAGTAGCACGTTCCTGCACTTTGTGAACTACTCCATAGCGACCCTTTCCTAGCTCTTCCAGTACTTCATAACAGGTTTTAAACTCCTCACCAGGAGCTACTGTCACCACTCGCGGCTCAAATACAGGCACGAAGGATTCCTCTGTGAACACATGATAATGTGGGATGTAAGTGAATATGTCTTTTCAGATATGTTTAATGATACTTGAATGAATCACATAACGTTCCTTCTTTTTCCTTTCTAATGCTCACGATAAAACAGTAGCACATTCCTGTTCAGTTTCACAGATTAAGCTAAAAGGAGACAGGAACCACGTACTAAATACTATGGACTGTGAACCATAAGCTGGACTTCAGGTCTGAGAATTAATGATAAATGTGGAAAGAGTTACATAAATGGTGACAACTGATCTTAAAATGAGTGTTCAAAGATATTGGAGGAAGTAAACATAAGCAGCGAAACAGTGTGATTGACTTGTGAGATCATTTTGACTAAAGATCTAGAACTGAAGAAAGTCTGCCAGAATGACGAAGCCAATCACAGCAGTGAGCAAAATCTGAGAACATTACTCATATCTTTCAGTGAAGTGCCAGAAGAATCCCACCTTTCAGAACAAATAGTAACTTGTGATGAGATTTGTGTCATACAGTATGACCTAGAAAAAAAGATAAATAGTGAACAAAGCATTCTACCTTAAAGTTTTGTAATGTTTAAGGCAGCGGATTAATCAATAAAGATAAAAAGATTTGCCAATGCAAGTGATACAGAACCTTCCCATACAGCACAATCAGTAAAATAAGTTTTGGCCCAAAACAAATACCAGTGTGATTTGATCCCACGTGACATTTCCACATTCTGAAACTATAAGTCTTCTTAAACTCGAAGAAAATATTCAGTGAATATGTGACAACAGGACTTTCAGAAAACAAGTTTCTGTAATGTGTCCAGGCATTGCAGAGACATTGGAACGCTTATATACAGACAGAAGGCAAAATAATTCGAGGGTGACTGCACTCACTAAGACTGACTCAGTATATTTTCAAATGCAGAGTCCAAGTATTTGTCAGACCTCATATTCCCCACATTCGCAATACCTTAACCTCACCAGAATGGACAGTCAGACAGCTGATGTAAAAAAATCTGTACTGGAGCTATCTTATCTCAAACGAGACAACTCTGACCTGAGAGTTCAGTTCCTGGCCCACTAATTACCAGGTTCTCCAACTCCGTAAGGTAAACACATATTGGAATAATGTAAACTCCTTGCTAGGGAAGTTCACAGAATGCATTTTTTATACTTTTAAAAGTTTGAGTGGGTCCCTTTCCCTTGTTTGCTCTTGACTGTGGCAGACATCTTACCTGCTGTATGGGAACGGATATAAACCCCACTTACTTTGGTGCTGCTGGTGAAACTAACTCGAAGGTTAAAAATTCAGCAATATGCTACTGCAACGGACAGTCAGTCGGGCCACACATAATACGTGCATGGTGATAGTGCGTCAAAAGTTAATGCAAATTTCATGCCAATACACTTCAGGTTCCTCTGCAGTGCATCCTCAGGTTTCATTATCTTCAAAGCATTTGTATGAAGTTTCATCTGAAGAATCATGTAATTCTTTGTGTTGCTGTCAGATTACTTACCATCTGAACCCGTCTGGAAAGGCTCGGATTCCACGCTTGCCTCACTCAAACCATGGGCATTCTCTGCACGCACCCTGAACACATACCGCTCACCAGGAGTTAAGCCAGGAACCATGTAAGATAAGGAATGACACCTGGAAAACATAAAACAATGCTGGGTCTCCAATTACAACAAAAGACATACTACACGCTCAAGAATGGCCAGCCTACCGACAAGGAGTTAGAGTATATACGTATAACACAAAAACTGCGTAAAATGGAACCTGTCTCAATCAGAAAGAACTCTCACCAAAAATACAAAGTGAAAAGTAATGGAAAATTACCTCTAACTAAATGGAAATAATTTAACACAGAACTGGGCAAAATAAGTAAGAACTTAATGGAAAGTAATCTAAAAATGGCTTTCAGGGAGCGCGCCAGATTTGATTCAATTTCTGCTGAAGAGTTATTTTCCCGTTTTCTCAAACCTACCTGTCTGTCACCAACTGCCATTCTGTTTCATTTTGCTTCCTCATCTCCACACAGTACCCGGTCACCATGCAGCCTCCATCATATGGTGCGCTGCACCACGCCACATTCACAGAACTGCCACTACCAGACACTGAGGGCTTGCCTGCTGGTGGATCAGCTGGTCCTAACAAACACATTTATATTGCATGAGAGACAGGACACTCCCCCTTTTAAGGCTGGCCAGAATTACTGATATTCACCCAGAATGATGATCTTTTATTTTATAAAGTTCAAAGCAGGTAAATTTCTAGCTGTAGTCACAGTGTTGTGAGGTTTCCTTCATACATTTGTGGTCTAAATGACCTTGAACTGAATTGTGCAAAACTAAACTACTGCAGAATATTTCACATTGTTGAAGAAACAATTATAAGATTACAGGATTTTATGAAGTAACGCCTGCAACTGGTTGGAATTCTCACAGCACATTATTTACAAAAAGAATGTTGATGAAAGGTGGGACCTTACACAAAGAAACTTAATTTGCAGCATGACCTTCAATTAAAATAGTTTTATGTATCATATTTCATTCCCTCTTCACACTTGAATGCTGTATTACTCTATACATACAGAGAGGCCACTTTTGGGCCCTGTCAGCTGGGATCATTTTCTTCTTAACTCATACTTCAGAATAGAAGAGGTAGCTGTTATTGTTATCATGAGGTGAGACTATGTTTCTGTGGAACTGTGGCTGCCAGATGGCTCAGGTTCGTGAACCCATCCATATTTATGGTGGCTAACGAGACGGAACACAAACCTTTGCAGTTTGGATGCATCTTGAAGAGGAGAGTTGATAGAATAAGAGGTGAATGAATCTGGCTCAGGGTGTGTACAGTGGCGGGCTTCGGTATTAGTGGTATTAAACTTTCGGATTTTGATACTACAGTGTTTGTTTTATATGTCTGAATCATATTTCTGAGGAAAGGATGGAAACCTACCAAAC